ATAAAAGTATATATTGGAAAATAACCAAAATAATTTCTTATAATATTACTCTATTAATTTTAGTAAGATCTCTATAAACTAATAAATTAAGTCTATTTCACGAATTAACAAAAGAGTTTACGTTTTTGTTTACAATTTACATGTCGTTCTTTACTTCTTCTTCTCAACTCAAAAGATATGATTTTGGCATAAGAGCTTAAAGCTTCGGGTATGTTCAGTGCAATCTATCGTAGTACATTACATAACACCACATACTTCAATGGTTTCTTGAACCCTGTTGTAGTACAGAACTCAATTTGCTTTGGAACAAAAATTAAAAATACGGTTGACACACATATAGTTTCTGTAGCATACTACAATATGTAATATACGCGTATGACTGTCTTTGGCATTAGAGCGGCAAGGGAAATGGTGACAATCGGCGATCGTTCGTTTATTTTTTTCGGCACAGCTCGGATTTTCTACCAACAACACAATGTTGTGACGCTTTGTCGTTGCGTCAGTCCTTCAACACATTGACTCTTTGACATGAAGATATTTGTCATCCGTGTTAATGAAGATTTTGCACGAAGCAATGAGTGTACATATTTACATACATATTTTGCATGTAGATAAATTAACAATCATTATGCGTTCCTTCACATATTTGTTTACCATACATGCACACATAATTATATAAATCTTTATGTATGAGCATATGTGCAACCGCTTGGTCTTTTCAGATGTTATTAAAACTTTTAATGACCCAAGCAAATAAATATTGTATATTATTTATAAAATCTATATTAATTAAATATTTAGGTAATAATACAATCTTTACTGAACCTATTATATATTTTTTATGGAATTCTTCATGAAATATTATATGTAGGAAAATTTGTATATATTATATACCAGATATGAAGGGATGTCCAACATATTTCAGTGTGAGAGCTCCTCAAAATTAGCTTTTTTTTAATAAAATTTTGCATTGTAGCCAGATCAGATAAATTACTTGTTCTTGGGTACTTAAATTAAAACGCCCAACATTTATTACGATTAAAAATGATTAAGTATTGAAAGCTTAATAACAGATATGGATAAACTATTCCTCTGCCAATAGAATGCACTTTGAACAAGATGAGGATGCAGGATGCCACTCACCCCGGCGCAAGCACGTCAAAGCAGGTCGCGACTGCTGAGACCATGGTGGAAGTTCTAACGAGAAGACAGGCGTACAAGGTGTTGTGCTTCCCTCCACGCAGGAGCTTCTAGAGGGGATTAAGGACCTAGTGGATAGCAGCGCGGAGGACGCGGAGGATGAGGATCAGTTCCTCTTGGAACCGATCCTACAGTGGTCATCAACGTGGAAGTTTCCCAGGTGAACCTGAACCATATGGCGTCAGCCTCGGCTGTTATCATGGGCATCTTGTTGATCTAACCTTCGTCCTGGCAGCAGCCTATTTTACGGCTGAATTCCCAGAGGCTGTAGATAGCCCAGTTGACTATTGCAGAAGAAACAAGTTGCCCCTAATTCGGGGATTCGAGGCAAACGCCCATCACACGGAATGCGGTAGTACGGACTGCAAAACACGAGATGAGTCTCTCTCTTGGAATTCATCATTAGTAGTAATTTAAGTGTAGAAAATGTGGGTTGTGAATCCACGTTCGTTACAAGAAGTAGGAGGGAGTTACTGGACATCAGTTTGAGCAACGGACCAATGACTGGACTGATCTTACAATGGAGGGTGTCATCAGATCCCTCCATGTCAGATCACAGAATCATAATTGGTGTAGGGTTTTATATATATAAAGGATCAAGATCAGCACGTATGCGGATTGCGCCCCTCGCGTTGGTTGGGCGGGAGGAGGGTAATCGTTGGGTTATTATTATTATTAAAAAAAAAAGATGACTAGACGACTTGAAATTAAACTTGGTATATATGTGCAGCAGACACAGTTCTATTTAGAGTGTTGCCGTGTAAAGATCAATTGAGATATGAGTAAGAAGTTGTATGCTCGGATAATGAGTAGTAAAATTATTGAAATTAGAAATAAAGATGCGTGTCCAATAATTTGGGACTTTTATTTAACAATCCAGTGATCAAACTCAAGAGTGAGTTACAAGGTAGACGATTTATAGAGAAATCCGTTACAATATTTTTTTTTCCGTTCGAGTTTAAAGGATCTTCAATGCGGATGATGATGGCGAATATTGTATGATAGAGCTTTTCTTTCATCAAAATTACTCGATATTATTCATTTATTGTGCTCTTGCAACAGGTTACTACAAAGTATAATAGTTTTATTCACCTAACGGTTGTTTGTATGAACTAAAACTAATTGAGATTGATATAGCGTTTTATATATTATATATTATATATAATATAAAAAATCAGGATGACTAGACGAGTTGAAATGAAACTTGGTACATATGCAGGGGAAAAAAGGTGGGAGCCACCTCCCTACAGGAGTGTTTCTAATACTTTATAAATTTTATTAACTATCTTCACACTTACTACTTCAAGGTTTTTGACTAACAAGTCAAATACCACGTAGTGTTGTATGCTCTCATCACATCTGTATTAAACTTACGTTATTGTTGATGTTGGGTGGAACAAATTTGTTTTGTGCGATTTTGAAAATCAGTATTGTTATGTATAAATCAGTTTATACATAGACTTTCATAAAAAAATATTTTTTCAGATTATACCGGAATGTATGAACATAGGAATAGCAAGACTTGACAGTTAATAAGAAGGCAGAAGCATCTGACTCAAACATTTATTTAGTGATCTAATTAATGAAAAAACCATTCTTTTGAGATCTAATGACTATCATAATTAAGTTTTTTAACATGCATCCTCCAATCTTCAATAGTTTGGAAATTAGAATTGAGCTTTTCGAGCTTTGGCGGCAGCGAATGCGTCGTACATAGTCTGAAATTCAATTTGTTTGCTATTTTTGCCTGTAGGCAAAGTATACTTAACTAGTCCTGGAATATTGCCCTTTGGCTAGTATAATCGATTAAAATTTTTTATCCTTGCTAGAACACTAAGCAAACGTTCACCACTTGAAACAGAAACGGGTAAAGTGCAAAATATTCTCAAAACGATGCAAATATTTGGGAAAAGTCTTCCTAATTTTCCACCATTGGTGGCCGGTTCAATAAGTTGTATGAAATAAGACGAGTTTCAAAATTTGCATCGTAGTCTGAAGTCATATGAAAACTTAAATACATCAATGGCATACTTGTTTGCAAAATTTTTTGCAGCTGCGTTGAGTTCGCCTTATTTCATAACAGGAAACTGCCATAAAAATAAGAACGTTTCGTTTGTGTCACTCATTGCGGCGAATCTTTCTTCATTCCACAGATAACGCTGTGAGGTACGAGGTAAAAAGTGTTTCTTTTAAATTCAATGTAGAAAACATTAAAGTATTCTAATTTTTAACTATTCACTTAATTTCTTGAAAAGTACGGGCTTCTATCACAATGGGCCTCCTATAGGCCTAGGTGCGTCGTTAGACAGCCACTCTACCTATCCTACCCTACCTACGGGCTCCTTCTCTGCCTCAATATATCCTATTACTGATTTCCGACTTACCACCTGACTCAAAACCGTTTAGGTTGGTCAAAATTTTAATGAATCCTTGGTCGTTGCAAGTTGCAAGAGTATAAAATGTTCGGTTACACGTGAACTTAGCCCTTACTTACGAAATTCAATTTCGCAAATTATCAAAATATATTCAGTTTCGTTCAATATGCATCTTCTGGATCCAGTTTCTGACATGGAGCACCTCACATTTTTCAGTAGTGACTATTTATTCATTTACTACAGTTAAAGAAATATCAAAGTTTTACATATAACCATATTTTTCGTACAATTTTTGAATCAATTTTAAGAAAATAACAGAATGAAACCATTTTCCGGTCAAAAGACGGCCATCTTGGATGCCAATAAAAACTCAACCCCAGACTTCCCTTATCATTTTTTCATGGACACCTCAGAGTTGTGGCTTTGTTTACATCTTATTAGTTGATAGTGTCTCTCTCCTCCTTTACGATGACTTTGCTCATCCCTGATCATGAGTTACGATTTCGTTTCCTCGACAGTCGGGTCTAAGTAACCGAACGGACCCGGACTTTTATCAGGCCAAGGACTGTCAACTCGGCACCATTCCTCTAAGTAACTCCAGGAATGTTTTTTGCCGTGAGTACAGATATGTATTTAAGAAAAAAGGATTTTAGGGAACATTTGAGTTATAAAAGATAATTCGTTAATATCATTTATTTGGTAAATTCTAAGTAAACTCTCCAGATAGGTTACTATTGATATTTGAGGAATGATAGCATATGCTGCCATTCAATTAAAATATTCATTTACAGCTATTTCAAAAATTACTTATAATACCATTCATATTAAAAAATTTTAACAAACTTTTTATCATTAAATAGACTGTTCTTTTTATATAATCTCTAAAATAAGCGCTTCATAAAATAGAATCTTATACCATGTTCCGACCGACACTTAATCACAAGATTTAGGTTGTTGAGTATATTATCTCACTATTCTGCGAGGAGATTTGAATATAATCAACTCGAAATCTCCCTATGCAACTTTGATTTAGCGCCATTTGTTTGTCAGAGGGGAAATTTATCACTTTATCACAGCTGATTTAGACACTACAAAGGGGAAAAAATGTAAACAAACAAATAAAATAAAACAAATGCAACTGAATTCTTCGGGCAATCGACTTCCAAAGTAAAAAAATGCGTCAATTATTTCCAATATATGGAAAATATTAAAAACAAGACGACTTCTCTGCCAATATAAACAATGGTATTTTTAAAATTTCAAATCATTTTTATTAATTTCCAACGGCAGAGAGATAAGTGAATAGAATAAATGAACATAGTATCAAAACTATGTGAGTTTAAGTTTTCATTTTGAAGCAAAGATGATTCTCGTATCATATGTGTAAGCGTGTTGTAAGAGACGTTTTATACACTGGAGTTTCAGATACAATAGTTGAACGAAGAACAACCCTAATCATCGTTTGTTAAAATTATAAGAAGTTTCTTAATTGTGGCAAGGCTTTTTAATGCCACATCAGTTTTTAATTTCTTGTGAATATATTGAAGTTAGCTTTATATATAATTATGTATAGAATTATTTTAGAATAACATTTCGTTTTATTAGTACAATCTACAGTTTCGTAAACGCAAACTTTGCTTTTCAACTTAATATGAAGTGCAACAAGTCTTAAGTACAAAGAGAAAATGTTGGGAGAAGTTGTCTTCCGCACGCTGGCCCTTTTATATATAATTTTTACGTCGGTTACAGTGAATATCGCATCAGATCTTCCAAGTTCTCATTCCCAAAGTTATTCGGTTACAACTCTTATTAATGCAAAATGGCATCAAACACCTTTGTATTTGGAAATTGCAGAGTATTTAGCAGATGAAAATCCGGCTTTATTTTGGGATTATGTGAATGATGTTTTGACACAACAAAAACCAATTAAAGAATATGGTAAAATATTATTTACAGTTTATTTTGCAATTGGTTATGTTTTTTTTATCCCTATATTTTTAGCGTCAGAGTCGAACCAATATTTGGCAGCGATTAACATTGCGCGTAATAGGCTTAATGTACTTCAATTGCCATTACTTAAACTTGTAGTGTCGTTGCACAGTTTGACACCTCGTATACAAACACATTTACAAATATCGAATGATATTTATTCAAAATCTAAATGTAATCAAGATACTTTCGTTCAAATTGATATTGAAGTCATATGTAGCATTGATAAGTTAAGAGAAAATCTCAATTCTCAGAAAGAGGATTTGGTAAAACTTGTTACATACAGTTTTGACCATGTTTATCCAGGGTCAGAAAATAATTCACGAACATTTATTCTGCATGGAGATTTTGGGTCTAACAGTTTCTCTACTTATCACAAAATATTATCAAAAGAAGCCCGTTCTGGAAATATACGTTACGTTGTTCGTCATTACCTAGTAAATAATACTAATAATAATCCCGTACGACTATCTGGCTACGGTGTAGAGCTACATCTTAAGTCTACTGAATACAAAAATCAGGATGATGCGCCTAAGTCACACGATGACACATTCAAGAATGGCGCAGATGACGAAACTGAATTAAAAGGTTTCGACTTCAAAATACTGAAGAATAGATTTCCAAGTTTGTCCGCTTCTTTAGACCAATTACGTTATAGTCTTTTAAAGGGTAATGAAGAAATTACCCAACTGAAAGCCTGGGAGTTTCAAGACTTGGGATTACAAGCAACACGTGCAATTACTGAAGTGCAAGGTGATGAGTCCTTGCAGGTACTGCAATTTATTGCACACAATTTTCCAATGCAAGCGCATACACTACTTCATCATAAAGTAACTGATGCCTTGCGAGCTGAAATAAAACACAATATTGAAGTGTTTGGCCGTAGTTTAAATATCATTCCTCCCGATGGTGCGCTATTCATTAATGGTTTATTTTTTGATGCTGATACAATGGATCTTGGCGCTATAGTTGAAACAATGCGTTCTGAAGTACATGTTCTCGAGAGTTTACATAAGAACAATATACGAGGTCCACTAGCAGCAGCACTTCTCGCTTTGGATCTTTCTGGAGCATCAAACAAAGAATTTGCCATCGATATCAGAGACACAGCAGTAATGTGGATAAATGACATAGAGACTGACCCACAGTATCGTCGTTGGCCATCAAGCGTAATGGATTTACTAAGACCGGCCTTCCCAGGAATGTTACGAAACATACGTAAAAATATATTCAACTTAGTCTTGGTAGTCGATCCATTAAATCCTGCTAGTAGAAATCTGATAAAACTAGCCGAGAGTTTTATCATTCACCAAGCGCCAGTACGACTTGGTCTAATATTCGATACACGAAGTGCTGAAAAAGATACTGCTAAAGATTATAATTCAATTATATGTGCATACAATTATGTAACTCAAAATAAGGAAGGGCGGTCAGCCTTAGGTTTTTTAACAGATGTATTTGCAGCTGCAGATGCCACAGAAAAGGTGCGACATACACATATTCGTAGTCAATTCAAAAAAACGTTTAGTAATTTATCTGGGGGCAAAATTGATGATATTTTGGGCAACGATTCGGACTATGATTATGGGAAACAATTGTCTCAAGAATTTATTGAACGTTTAGGATTTGCCAATTCGCCTCAGGCGTTATTGAATGGCGTACCTATGCAACAAAGTATATTAACCTCGGATAGTGAATTTGAAGAAGCGATTTTTTCGGAAATTATTCAACAGACCAGTAGTTTACAGAAAGCGGTTTACAAAGGAGATCTAACAGACACTGATTCAATTATAGATTATCTTATGAATCAAGATCATGTTATGCCACGTTTAAATCAACGTATTCTCAGCACAGATACGTCAAAATTCCTTGATTTTTCGGGAAAGGAATATAAGGACTTGACGAATGTTCAAGATCTAGCTCAGCTTTCAAATCGCGATATGACGGCTACTTTATTGTCCAATATAAAATATTTCGAGGTTAAACATGCTACTGAACGCATTGGTAATTACGAATTAAACTTTTTAACCATTTGGATTATTGCTGATATCGAAAAACCGGAAGGTCGCGAACTGTTAGAAAATGCACTTAATTATCTTAAGTTTGGAAGTAGTGTACGAATCGGCTTTTTGCCTAATGTGGAGAGTTCATCTATTTCAAATAAATATAATTTAAATCGCTTAGCATGGGCTGCTACACAAACACTTCCCTCCGTCGAAGCTACGGACTTAGTTTTAAAATGGCTCAATAATCCCAACTCGATAATTGAAATTCCAAATGTTGTCAACGAAATGCTTTCATCAACTGAGTTGCATATGAAAATGTTGCGAGTTTATGTGCAACGCATTTTCGGATTGCCGAAGTCTCTCCGTTTAGTAGTTGGAAATGGGAAGATATTCGGACCATTGTCAACAGGTGAAAAGTTTAATATCGAAGACTTTGAGCTGATTGATCGATTCAATGCTTTTCAATATGCTGATAAAATCCGAAAAATACTAAAACAAAGTGTCGAAAATGAGGCAGATACTACCGATGATACTGAAATCAACAGTAATACCTTGCTCAAGTTATATGCCAGCCTTGTGCCCAGACAATCAAAAACTCGTTTTAAGATACCTGATGATATTAAGAAACATAATTCAGTAGTTTCTTTAATACCCAAACAGCCACTGATGCCACATTTTGATATTTCTGCTGTTGTTGATCCTGCTTCTAGAAGTGCACAGAAACTCGCTCCAATTCTTATTTTATTGCGAAATATTCTCAACTGTGAAATGAATATATATTTAACACCTGTTGGACAACACAGTGATATGCCTGTAAAGAACTTTTATCGGTATGTTGTGGAACCGGAGGTCCAATTTCAAACCAACGGCAAGTTAGGGGAGGGTCCTATATCAAAGTTCACCGGCTTACCTGTTAACTCATTGCTTACTCAAAATATACAGGTGCCGGAAAACTGGCTTGTAGAGGCTGTGCATTCTGTATATGACTTAGATAATATCAAATTAAGCGAAATTGGTGGGCCTGTCCATAGCGAATATGAATTGGAATATTTGTTATTAGAAGGTCATTGTTTTGATTCGAATTCTGGTGCGCCTCCTCGTGGTCTTCAAGTCACGCTCGGAACACAGAAATCTCCTGCTATTGTTGATACCATAGTTATGGCTAACCTTGGCTATTTCCAACTTAAAGCTAATCCTGGTGTTTGGGAACTGCGCCTACGCGAAGGAAAATCTGCTGATATATATGATATTGGCCATGCAGAAGGTCCCAATACAATACATCAAAAACAATTAACAAAAGTCGTGATTAATTCTCTGCGGTCTCACGTGATAAAACTAAGAGTTACAAAAAAATCTGGTAAACAGAATGCAGATTTGCTTGGTGACGACGAAGATGATTCAAAATCAGGTATTTGGAACTCTATTGCTAGTTCATTTGGAGGCGGATCTTCATCCCCAGCATCTGATAAAAAAGGTGTGGAGAACTCTGAAACAATCAATGTTTTTTCTGTTGCTTCCGGTCATTTATATGAGCGCCTGTTGCGCATTATGATGTTATCTGTGTTAAAACATACGACATCATCTGTTAAGTTCTGGTTCCTGAAAAATTACTTGTCACCACAATTTACTGATTTCCTTCCTCATATGGCGAAAGAGTATGGTTTTCAATACGAACTTGTTCAATATAAGTGGCCACGGTGGCTTCATCAACAAACAGAGAAGCAGCGCACGATTTGGGGTTATAAAATCCTTTTTCTGGATGTTCTATTCCCCCTTAACGTTCGCAAGATAATTTTCGTGGATGCAGATGCCATTGTACGCACAGATATTAAAGAACTTTATGATATGGATTTAGGAGGAGCACCATACGCATACACACCCTTCTGTGATTCTCGAAAAGAAATGGAAGGTTTCCGGTTTTGGAAGCAAGGTTATTGGCGTAGCCATCTTATGGGCAGACGATACCATATCTCGGCTTTGTATGTGGTTGACCTTAAACGATTCCGCAAAATTGCAGCCGGTGATCGATTACGTGGTCAATATCAGGCTTTGAGCCAAGATCCAAATAGTCTTGCAAATTTAGATCAGGACTTACCAAATAACATGATACATCAAGTCGCCATCAAATCATTACCGGATGAATGGTTGTGGTGCCAAACATGGTGCAGCGACAACTCTTTTAAAAATGCAAAAGTGATTGATTTATGTAATAATCCAAGGACCAAAGAAGCTAAATTGACAGCAGCTCAACGTATAGTACCCGAATGGAAGGATTATGATATTGAAATAAAAAATTTAATGATTAAAATCGAGGATAATGAAAATACTGACCATTACGCCCAGGCAAACGAAATCCCACTATCAAGTAATGAAAACCATGATGACGGAAACATGAAACACGAAGAACTGTAATTTTTATTCCCGCTCTGTCCTGTAATTGTAGTATTCATAAATATTCACATCTTTTGATTATAAATGTTCAGTTTAAATTTTTTATACAAGTTTATTTTGATTAGAGTAATTAAATATAAATAATATAAAAACAATGGTTGAATTTAGTTCAAGTTATAATTTACTATACATTTTTTTACCTAATTTCAAAAAAAAAAATAGGATAACGATTTTATGTATTTGCAATCGCCACTATTAAGTAAAGAACTTCTGAAGAGTTCCCTGCTCGTACATTTTTTTTACATCTGTGCCGCCTCCTATAAACTTTCCATTAATAAAGCACCTTGGCACCTGAAAACAAAAATAATAATGCTATATCTTTTATTTGTTTATAGCAAAAATTATGTAACAAATACTTATAAACGCATTGGCTAAAAATATTATGAAATCATGGAATAGCTGTAACTATTTCTGATCAAATTCTTATTATAAATGAAAGAAAACTTAAAAACTTTGTGTTAATACATATTTCAGAACTTCGCGTCTAATTCAAAAAAAAATATATATAACATAAATATTTGCCTAGTTTAATTAGACTGTGGTTGCCAGTATTTTACTTATCATTGCTACGATTTAAAATAGCATTCCCCGATAGAGTTCTTCAGATTAAGAAAGCCGCTGATAGCCGATAGTTGCCGCTGACTAGTGGTTTACCAGATATTTGAATTTAAATTCTTACAAGTTGACTTATCTTTATTTCTATAGGGAAAAACATAGTAGAACAAAAAAATGCTAAAATTATTATGTTTATCAGCATAATAAATGCGTTTTTATTCAGTCGATATGTGATATAAATCCATAAGCAATGCAAGCTAAATTTCGCTTACGATTTCCCTTGGGACAAAATGTTTCTTTTAATCTTTTCGCTGCTTTCTTCATCTAATAAAATAAAAGCTAAAATTGCGGCACTCATTGTAAACTTTAATATACTTTATTCAGTATTTTAAATTTATTTATTTGCAAGATTTGTCCATTGTATAAATCTAGGTTTTGTCACATTAGTAAGCAGATGATTCGAATATTGGTTTCGCGAATGTTACAAAAGACGAAAATCCAAAATCAGATTCTGTGACACCACTGAAAATCAGAATTAGTTTGCAATTCTGACAACTAAGTAAATCTGTCTTGGATTATCTGTTTTCTTTAATTCTTATGGTTCTTTTAAAAAATATGGAGGAAAAGTAACACTGATTATTTGTTAGAATGCAACCATTTTATTATTTTATGAATATGAAAAAATATGGATATGGTAACACTTATTATTTGCTTGCATTCAACCGTTTTGTTATTGTGTAAATAAGTAAAAGTTAAGAAAACATTAATTACAATTTAAAACTATTTGTGCACTACTTATGATTAAATAAATGTGTAAAAATATGTGAATATAATATTGAATAATATAAACGTAAAATTCATAATACATAGAAAATTACATACTTTAATATGTGAACTTTCCGACATTAAGTGTCAATATCTCGAAAATTTTAAATCTGTATATGTATATATATTCTTAATCTTAGCATCTTATTCTTAACATCCTCTATCCGTCCATATTGGTTTTATCTCCAATTTGGGGGATGCTTTACTAAAGTTAAAAAAATCGACTTTCCGCTCACAAATTTGTAATCTTCGCGTGAAAATAAGAAAATTAAAAAAAAAATTGAATTTTCGAGGCCTTCTTCGTTGAGGAATTTAAACTATAGATTTATCAAAGTTTTCCCTTTTTTAATATACTTATGTAGGTATATTCATATGTAATTTTTAATTAATTTAAACAAAACAAAAATTTCTTAGGCTCGGAAAATGGGACAGGTTTGATATAGTTACAGTACAAACTAGTAGTCATACCTTTTGTTTATTGTATACAACTACATCCCTTGTTTCCCATAACTGGAAGAGTTGCCTATAGTGGTGACCTTAGATAACTTGCATTCAAGATATAATTTTTATATAGTATCAACTTATTTCTATACTCTTAGAACTCGAAGGATAAATAGTTATTCATATAAATGATAATTTATGGAAAACGAACTTACGGTTCTACAGCCTGTAATCTCTTCAAGGATGTTCTGAATTTCTTCAGCATCATTACGACTATCTAGTTCAACAACATGTGCGTCTATAGAAAGTTTGCGAAATTGCTACATTTATTTAAAGATGTGTATTAATCGCTAATAAAGATGACATATTTAAGTTTTACTAACCTCTTTGGCCATTGTACAATAAGGACAATAGCTCTTAGAAAATATTACAACCTTATTGCTCCCGATTATATCGCGAACCATATCTGCTTGAGGACTGGTCATATTCACATTAATAGGTGATTTTCTTGGTAAAGCTGAAATGATTGAACCCATACATGAGCTGTTTACATCCACGTAAATTTCTCGGAATTTTGAAGTGTTTAACGGCGCATCTCGACAGGCAATTAAAAGTTGCTGAAAATCTAAATTGCTAGCAATATGGCGAATGAAGACTGCCATTGCCAATGTTTAGCAATTGTTGTCTTAATATATTTCATGCCATACATTGATAGCAATGAACTGTCATTTTGGTGGTTTGACAGAGCTGTTTTCATTTGCACACACATTTTGAAGAGGTACATGTACATGCATAGCTTCGGTCGCAGGATGCCAATAAAGATGAAACGCCCACAATTCCCACAACAGCCGGTTCTGCGATACCGGAATTGACAGGGATTTTATCCGACCAAGGGCTGTTATTTCGGCGATCTAACCCTGTTTGGATTGGTAAGTTCTAGATTTAGTTTGTCGTCATTGGAGCAACGCCTAGCAGCAGGGTTGCTCCGTATCCTCCTGATCCGTGCTGGCATCGAGTCCAACCCGGGCCCCGAGGAATTCTACTGCTGCGTTTGCGCTAAAAGGCTCCATCCAAACTCCGCCTCGGTTAGGTGCAATACATGCAATGGATGGAGCCATCTTAAGACCTGTTCAGGCCTTAAGACACATAGGGAGTGGACCACGAGTTACGTGGCCCCATGCTGTCAACGCAATAATGCGACATCTGCCTCAACGGCTGTGCAACCTGCACCATGTTTGCGCACTGCGCTGCCGCTCCAGTCGAGTGGCCAAGATAGGATCTCCACGGCCCTAAGGAGCTCACACAGACAGCATGACTCCCAGTCTGACCAACCTCCCCCCCCCAACCTTTATCCAGCTCCAATCCTCGTGCGAGAACCACCCAGCAACTCCTGGTTCCTCGCACAGTCTGTTCCGTGTGTCAGACCGTAAATCGCCGGACTGTCACATCAGTCAAGTGCAATTCTTGTACTGGCTGGTATCACTTTCTGTCGTGTTCCGGTCTGCGCACCACACGAGAGTGGAGTGCGTCGTATGTTGCCCAATGCTGTAGGAGTCTGTCCCCGCAATCACATACAGTGACGTCGCCAATCAACACCACAGTGCGACAACCGCCCATGCGGATAGTACACCTGCAACAACCACCACCAACACGCACCCCATTCACCCCTAGGATCACGACTGGACACCCGCGACAAACGCAACTCCTACAATTCAACTGCAACGGACTCCAGAGTAAGTTTGAGGAGATAGTTGCATTCATGAGCCGGGATCGCGTAACGATAGCTGCGGTCCAAGAAACCAAGCTAAACAGCCGTTCAGATCTTCTGAGTTGTGCAGGTTTCAACGTTTTACGTAAGGATCGCGAGCGAAATAATGGTGGAGGCCTAGCCTTCCTATTGCACAACACCGTGTAATATAGTCTAATCGATGTTGACATCGACCGCAGGGACACTACCCTAGAATGTCAGGGTATAGCTGTCCGGTCAGGCGATGTCGAACAGGATATCACCCGAACATAGATGCGCTACTTCGTGGTGAAAACCGTTTGGTGCTAGGCGACTTTAACGCGCATCATGATTTTTGGCATTTCTGTCTGTCAAATGATCATAGGGGGACGGAGCTGGCGGAACAGATTGACCATTCGACATTCTGCACAATAAATGACGAAGCTCCCACCAGAATTATGGGCACCTGTAATAGCTCTCCCGATATTACCATCGCTAGCGGTGGTAGATAAATATATAGCATAACCTGGCGACCTATGCTAACCCTCGCATCAGACCATCTGTCCATAATTATCTCGATCGAGAAACCTCCCGACTTTATTTCTGTGGACAACCGCACCTTCATTAACTTTAACAAAGCTAACTGGGTCGGCTTCACAGAATTTACTGAGAGCACCTTCAACGCACTACCCAATCCTACGGACGTCATCGTTGGCGAGAGTCAATTCCGCAAGGTGATCGCTGCTGCTACCGCTCACTTCATACCAGCTGGCAGAATCGCGGAACTCCGCCCAAATTTCCCAGCCGAAGCAGCTGTACTAGCAAACGAGCGCGACACATTACGCCATGCCGATCCCTGTGATCCCCGAATAAGGGATCTCAATTTGGAGATTCGGCGAATGGTAAACCAACATAAGCGGGTGGAGCACCTGAAGTCCTGTAATCTCTCACCGGTGTGAGTAAGCTTTGGAATACTGTAAATGCCTTGTCTAACCCGAGGAGACATGACGACCGAGTTGAAATTCAATTCGATGGGCATGCCTCCTCGGACCCGAAGAAGTGCGCGAGCTATTTTAGCCGGCAGTTTACACTGACCGACAAGGCCAAACGATGTGTTACCCGACAGCTGCGCAAAATGCCAAAAGACTGCGCACCATTTACTTTCACCGATGGGGAGGTTCAGAGTGTCATCAAAAAGGCGAAATCGTCTAAATCCATCGGCTCTGACGGTATAAGCATGCTGATGCTAAAACACCTAGGCCCAACGGAAGTAAACTATCTCACCAGGGTCCTCAACTTGTCGATATCCACTCTTCAAATACCCGATGTGTGGAAAGTCGGAAGAGTGGTCCCACTACTGAAACCTGGGAAACCCGCCAACAAAGCGGAGTCTTATCGCTCGATAACTGTCCTTTCCCCAGTAGTGAAGACACTTGAGGCCTTGTTACTCCCGTCATTCACTCACCACCTGAGCCTAGCAGATCATCAGCATGGCTTCCGAAAAGTGCACAGTACCACCACAGCACTTAGCGTCATAAACGCCCAGATAATACATGGCCTGGACCAGAAGCCACCCTGCGAGAGGACGATCCTCGTAGCGTTGGACTTGTCAAAAGCTTTTGACACAGTCAATCACACAACGCTACTTAAGGACCTAGAACAATCAACGCTCCCTCAAAAGTAAACAGCTACCTCTCCGATCTTTCTCGCTTCTTCTTTGCAAGGAGCCTAACACTCTCCCCACTAAATCCACAGCGACCATATTCACAAATTGGACGAAGGAGTACAGACTGGACCTGAACATTTCAGTCGAACATTCCGACAGTAAATAACCCTAAAATTTTAGGCGTCACATTGGACAGTCTGTGCTCTTTCACTCTTCACACGACCGCGATAACTGCCAAAGTACAGAGCCGCAACAAAATCCTCAAGTCGCTTGCCGGCAGCTCTTGGGGAAAAGACAAAAAAACGTTGTTGGCAACATACAAGGCAATCGGCCAGCCGGTCCTAAATTATGCAGCCCCAATATGGTCGCCTGGATGCAGTGACACGCAGAAGAAGAAGCTTCAGACCTGTCAGAACACTGCACTCCGGACTATCACGGCCCGTATGCTTCCGGTTAAGGAACACAACGAACTCGTCTCCAAGCAGTTTCTGCTGGGGTGTTTTCGTAGAAACCACCCCTATAGTCGCCTGCTTGTAGCGGAGCCGCCTCCTAGGAACATCAAGAGGTCTTTCCTTGATTACGTCGACGACATTAGACAATACGCCGACCGGACTTCAGACGCTACGAACTTCAGACAGGCACTGACCGCCATTCACAGTGGAGCCATCAACACCTTCACCGACTCCCTCTCAGTGAATGGCGTATTACGAGTCAAACCAACACCCATAGCAGGCGTCGAGCTCCAGTTGCCTCGCGAAACCAGAGTGACCCTCGCGCAACTTCGTTCTGGATACTGTAGCAGGTTAAACTCCTACTTATCCAGAATATCGTCCGACATACCAAACACATGTCCTGCGTGCAATGAGTCTCCGCATGACACTAACCACCTCTTTGCATGCCCAACAAACCCCACTCATCTAACACCCTTCTCCCTATGGTTCGACCCTGTCGAAACAGCTCGTTTCCTGGGCCTCCCGTTAGATGACCTCGACGACAACGAATCTGGAATTTATCACGCAAACGGGGACTAGGTAACCGTTACAACAACAACAACAAACGCCAATGTTTTATGTTTTGTTGCGTAAACTACAATTTATAGAAGAAATATTCGAAACATAAATTTCAACATCTTGACTCTTTCAACTCTTGAGTTCGATCACTAAATTGTTAAATAAAAGTCCCAATTCAATGTGTATAGCATTATCTTTATTTCTAATTCCAAAAACTAAACACTTATTGCTCGATATTCGTGTTTACACCTCCTTGCTTATAGCTTAATTGCTATATATAACTATATAAGATTAATATGATAAAAAATGTACATATGTACATATATGTATGTTGTAATAAAATTAATCTCTATTAGTAAGAATTATAATACAAAATATTTATTAGGAATGTATATTATGT